AAGTCTCCATAATTCCTTGTTGAAGTTTTTTTCTAATCCGATTTTCCAAAGCTCCAATGGCCTTGGGTCTGATAACGATTGAACCTTTCAAATATGTATAAAAAATCAATTCTATGCGAGGAGACAGAGTATGAACAAACGAAATCAAATCCAAAGCTCCCAAGCCCTAATAGGATAACATTTTGCAAGGACACCTCTTACTTCGAAGAAGTTTTTGATCGACTAACGATGACTCTAGCTAGGATTACGCCTGTTCAAAATTTGATCCCCGAAGTTTAACATTCAAAATAATCTTGCAGAAGAGGAAATTCCTTAAACCAATGAGCCCAGGCTACTCTTCTATAGAAATTCCCATGAACAGCTAAAAGAGAGCAACCAGCATAATTAATTGTATCCTGGAAATTCCTTAAACCAATGAGCCCAAGCTACTCTTTTACACAGCAACCAGCATTCTCTAACATTCCAAATCAAGAAATTCAATCGGTAATTTTCCTTAGTAATGGGAAAGCTACATTAAATAAGTTGGCAAGCTTCCTCAAATTGAGCTAGACAAAGTCAATTATTCACATTAATACAGGCACAAGCTTTTTCATTTTCAAGTTTTCCTTCAATTGCTCTCCAAAACTACACTTGGCTAGGATCTTCAATCAAGAGTACATGACACAAACCAAAACGATAGAGATTTCTAACCAGTTACCACAAGATATGCTCCTTGCAGAAAAACAGGGAGGGTATATGTGTCTAGACTCAATATGGTTTCCTCACTGCACCCAAGTAAAACTAATAACATCACTGAACCATTGACACGACTTAACATCAAACCGATTAACAACCAAATGGTTTTCAGGCTATCCCACGTAGTATCAAAACCATCAATCAACCTATTATCAGGTATCAACTTTTCAGTTAAACCGAAATACTCAGAGTTTTGCAAGCCCTTATGCTAAGTAAGCATGAGAGCCTTTTCCCATCGTTGGCTCTCAGTGAAACAAATTAGGATTTAACAAGCATAATGGTTTGCGAACACAATACCAATAGTCACCTTCAATTGATGTAACAAATTGAAGCTAATAATTAGAACTTGGTAACAGTTTCCCCAGTATTAATCAACAAAAAAATGTTTTGGTAAACAAATTCTGACTCCACCAATCCACGAGAAGCATAGCAGGTTAGCATTTGGGATATAAGATCATAAGGAATGCAAAAATTCGTATGAGTCGCCCAATAGAATACGAATTAGAGAGATGATTAATAGAGATTACCCAAGGTTAAGATCGACGTAATCACAATATGGTTCCACTCTTCTAGCAGCTTCCAACAAAACATCAGGATCATTGGCACAAAATTGAACAAACAATGGGCGGTCCTCCTATAAACCATTTCAAAATTTCAAAAACAAGGAAGAATGAACAAAAATACAGAAAGAAGGATAACATAAACTTGGATTGAACTTTTCATATACCTGACAAGTGGTAAATTCCACGTTCCTATACTTGTCGTTCTCGGTAAATATCCGTGAATGCAGCATAGGCGTATACGCCGCCTCGGCACCATATTTCCTGCAGAGCAAACGGAACGGTAGCTCCGAATTATCCACCATAGGAGCTACAATCAACTTCGGCCGGCCAAGCTTCGACCAATGAGCCCAGGCTCGCTCAATTCGCGACCCGCCATTCAAATATCCACTCCGCGTGACCAAGAGAAGCGATGGGTCATCGGATTTACTTTCCTCTTGTTGATGTTGCTGTGGATCGGAGCAGAGAAGGTCATCGAGGTCTTGAGGGAAATCTGGTTTAAGGGTTTGGGTGACAGAGGAAGCCATGAGAGACTTATGGAGAGAAGAATATGGCTTTGAGATGGAGGTTAGAAGTGGACGGGGATCTCATAAGCTAACGATGACGATGGTTGCGCAGCCCATCGCCGCCGTCGGCTCTGTTCAGTTTTACTCAGCAAAAGACATGTATTTAGGGCTTACGGATTAGAATTAGTTTTTTCATTTTCGCACGAATTTTAAATTTTAAAATAGAGAATTATATTTAATAAGAAATACTATTTTATTTTTAAAATGCTCCTAAATTTAAAACATCCAATAATATCCTTAAAATAAAAAATAAAAAATTTAAATAATACACTTTATTATGTTCGACTCATCTTTAGTTGTACCCTAATACTCGAGCAACCTCTTCATTTTCGATTTCTCCATCACAACAAGTTACGAGTTTCTTTATAAAGTCTACGATTGCATTTAGGTTGTACTGAACCGTTTTTTGTTCGTTATCAATAAATCACTGAGTCTTACAGACATAAATTGATATTCAAGTTATTGATCTAAGTTGGTTTGAGTGGACTAGTCTCACAGTCCAGTTCAATTAAACTAGTTCGATCCAAACACTTCTATTAGATGAAGGTTAATGTAATTCGATTTTCTCTTGTTTTAAGTTGTTATGTTGTTTGCATGCTCTAGAGTTACTAACTCTGTCGTGGGATCTATGTCTTCATGATTTTTAAGTTGAGAACTGAATTTGTGAGATCCTGCATCGGTTAAAAAAATGAACGAAACATTCTTTATAAAGAAACGAAGTAGATGCGTTTTAAAACCGTGAAACTGATAACGATATGTAACGAGCCGAAGCGGACAATATCTACTAGTAGTGGGCTTGAGCGGTTACCAAATTTATTTAACGATATGTAACGAACCGTGAAACTGATACGATATGTAACGAGCGGTTACCGATTACAAGAAGCAAGTTTAAGAAGATTCAAGAGGCCTATACATTGTATCTTCAAAGACTAGCTAGTGTACAAGTTGAAACAAAGAAATAATAGAGTGACTGACATTGGAAATTGAACTACCAATTATGATAATTTATCTATGCTTTATTTTCTTCAATTTGTATTTAGTAGCTTTTATTGTAGCTGTAGTTTAAAGTTGGTAGATGAACTTCATTATGTTCGGGTTATGTTTTTTTGCCTATTTAAAGACATGTAATATTCACGCTTGAGTATCATTGTTGAATACAAACAAAACCTTTGTGTTTTTTTGATACATTTTTTGTGTTATTCTCTTTTCAAACCTTGCTTTAGGTTTGATATTTAAACCGATTCATTGAATTAGTTTTGATCAAGCTAATTATGGAATGAGTCGTCATAGATTCCAAGTTCGATTCAAGAGTCATTCATCTTCTAACCAGCTCTTGATTGGAATCAATTCGTTACGTTAACTTTCTTTGTGAACGTTTACAAGGATTCTAGAAGGACCTCTAGCCCTACAAAATCTAACATTGTTGGCATTTATCGCAAGTATTCAAACTTCTGACCTCTTGAAACGTAATATACATTAATTAGACTACGAATATTGACATTTCTTCTTTGTCGTGTAACGTCGAAAAGTTTGGTAGAACGTAAGCGATATTAAGAAATAACATTAAATGTATATATTTGAAATCATTATTCTTTCTTGCAAATAATTATGTTGCAACTAATTAAAGTTAAAGTTTATTAGACGACAACTAAAAGCTGTTTTCAAAGACAGTTCGGCAGTCAAAATAAACCAAAGAAAAAGATTGCTAAATGGCAGAAAATCAAAGCAACGTAGGGTCCTAAGCCACAAAAGTCAAAGCTGTATGATTACAAATAATTGAATCCATGCATAGTTTGACCACTTTACCAACAGAATTTGTACGTTTCCTTAATCAAATCAAATCAAAAACTCTTTAGAATCCGGAACGAGTACTATAAGATAAACGCCTTTAGATAGTGTCGGACGACATGGGTATGTCGACTAAACACTCTAACTCATGAATTACAGGTAGGTACATAAAACCGCTCTCAAGTTTGATTTTCTTTACGTATTCTTAATTCTCTATTCCGTTGACATTCTTAATATATTCACTGATATAAGATAAGGCTAGTAGTAACCCTGTCGGTAATAAAATTCTTGAACGATTTTTTAAAAAAAAAATGATAGATTTTTTTAAACCGTCTCTACAAATTTAGAAATATCTGTAGATAGGGCGTGGGGCATCTCTATGTTGCCATGCCCACGTGTCAAGCACGATGGGTCGGGCATGGTCGTGGGTGCGGGCATATTCTTGCCCACCATTTTTGACTTTGCTCCATTACTTCTAGTGTGTGGCCATAAATTATTCATCTTTGAAAAGTTCTAATCTTTTCTTCAATACCAAACAAAACAAGATTCATTTCTCTCTTAGACTGCCCAACCCATTTCCAATTTGTTTCTTCAAGCCATTGACCAATTCCTCTTCTCAAGTTTTCTGTGTTCATATTAAAGAACAAACCCAAACAGAAAATCGAAACGTTTCGACCTCGTGGTCGAAGATATATGTTTAAAAAGAACCAAAAATGAAAGCAAACCCATGATCTTCTTCATTTCTCTTCTTCTTCTAAGCTCAAAACTAAAAAAAAAAAAAAAAAAAAAAAAAAAAAAAAAAAAAAAAAAAAAAAAAAAA